CCCCATCACAATCAAAATTATCTTAAAAATTATATTCTCGTTTAACTTACTCATTGATTTCAATAAGAAAGGTCTTACGTTCGAACCACATCCCAATCAAAGTTGGCATAATTAGTACTCTATTTTACTCTTATTAAATTATTAGTTTTTCTACGCGTTTTGCACGAATGTGATAATGCCCAATGATTCTTTTTAAATAAGTATTTCAAAGTATATCAATGCAATATTATATAGAAGATGTTCATGCATAGGTAAATAAATGTTGAATTTGTTAATTTAAATCAGTAATTTAAAGTATATAGATGCAAGATAATATATGAGAGGTTGATTATATCTAACTGTCACAAAAATAAATGAAATAAGGTTTAAATTGGCCACTAAACTTAACCTGAAAATGCAATTAGATCACTGAACGAAAAAAAAAAAAAAGTGTAATTAGGCGACCGAACACTCAATTAAAATATATGCAGTTTCACCTGATAGCAGGTTACGATCAATTTTAGCAGGTTACCTGCTTACATGGCAGCTGAGTTGGTATTTTTAATAATTTTTAATAATAAATTTTTAAAAAATTAAAAAATTAAAACAAATAAATAAAATAATAATAAAACAAAACAACGGGGTAGCCACCCCGTGTGTTTTATTTTTATTTTTTTATTTAAATTTTTTTCAATTTTTTTTAAAAAAATTATTATTAAAATTTATTAAAAATCATTTAAAATGTCAACTCAGCTGTCACGTAAGTAGGTAACCCTCTAAAATTGATGGTAACATACTATCCGGTGAAATTGCATACATTTGGAGAGTTCAGTGGCTTAATTGCACTTTTTTGCGTGCTCAGTGGCCTAATTGCATTTTCATGTTACGTTCAATAGTCAATTTGAACCTTATTCCAAAATAAATGTTTGCAACTTTGTAATGACATTAGTCTAAAAGCGATAGTCTAAATAAATACAACTTTTGATTTAAATTTTTCTAATTCTCGTTTGGGTAGCATTGTCATTGTCTTCATCTTTGGTACTCTTTTTTTTTTTTTTTTTTTTTTTTTTTTTTTTGTTATTGGTAGTATGTCATGTGCAATTAGGTTATTGTTAGTAGCATTGAGAGGGATTCATCATGTAATGAGATTATGGTGTGGGAAGCTTTATATTTGCCTTCTATATTTGCCTTCTTGTGTATATGACTGTGATTTTAGTTGTGCTATGAACTCTTTATCTTACAAACAATATTTGATAGTGGTAGTTTAATTTCCCCTACATGTTTAATGTGTTGTGAGATGTGTGTCATAGGTTATCATGTGAAAGTATTGAACAAAATATTAATATTTATTATATTTGTATAAAATACTTGGTAAATAAATAAAGTATATATATATATATATATATATATATATATATATATATATATATATATATATATATATAAAACATATTTTATATTATAACTTTGATATTTAATTACAAGATAATGTAAAAAGAAGACAATAGATAATGTAGTAAATATAATAAATTAATAAATTTGAAGGTAAAGAATCTTTGAATTGTATAAAATAAAGATAATATAACTAATGAAATTATATCTCTTTTTAATTTTTTATAACGAATAATTTATTTCAAATAAAGGCATTATAGATATCTAATTCTAAATTAATTAAATGCATATTTATTATTTTTTGTTGTAGCTACTACTTTACTTTTTAATTTAATAAGAGCAATAAAGTGGCCTACATACTTTTCATCTACAATAATTAAATCATTGATTTTTTTTTTATTTCCACTTGTTGTTGAGACAAATTGTTTTGAGAGTTTGTCAATGACAATTACTATCAATAGAGGATGATAATAAATAATTCAAAATATAAAGTTACAATATATATTGTTATAATAATATAGTAAAAATTAACTTATAAATTTCAAATTTTTAGAAGTTTTCATGCATTGATAAAAGCATAATTAAAATATTAAGTTTTGTTCTCAATAATCAAAATAAGATTAATTAAACGAAAAAAAAAACTTAACTTAAATTTATTTTTTTAAAATGAAAGAAAATCAAATGATTTTCAAAGTTCCTGGTTTATAATTATTGAATGCTATGTATTTAGATGAGCTAATTATTTGACCAAAGTTTATATTAAATTTTATATTATATTTTTAATACTTTGTAACATATTCGTAGTATATGTTTAACAATTATGCCAACTCTAATTGGGATATGGTTCAACCCTAAGACCTTTCTTGTAGAAATTAATGAGTAAGTTAAGAATAATGAATAGTTAACGGAATATTCCGTTAAGAAAGTTTATACTAACGGAATTTAAGGTTATTTAAGGGAAGAAAATAATATAATAAAGGGCAAATAAGGAAAATCATTAAGAAATACAAAAATCAAAATAATATGAACCATTCATTTTAAGAAACAATTAGGACCGACATTTTTTTATTAGGGGCCTAACATTATTGACTCTTATTAAAATTGTATAAACTAGTTATTTTACGCGAATGGAATAATGCCCAATGATTATTTTTAAATAAGTATTTCAAAGTATATCAATGCAATATTATATGTAATATTATATCAGAGATGTTCATGCATAGGTAAATAAATATTGAACAATTATGCCAACTTTGATTGGGATAAAGTTCAAACCTAAGACATTTCTTATAAAAATTAATGAGTAAGTTAAGAATAATAAATAGTTAACGGAATATTCCATTACTAAATTTTATTCTAACAGAATACATGTTATTTAATGGAAGAAAATAATATAATAGAGGGTAAATAAGAAAAATCATTAAAAAAAATACTAAAATCAAAATAATATGAACCATTTATTTTAAGAAACAATACTACCAACATTTTTTTTTGTTCCAGTTAAGGTCCTAACATTATTGACACTTATTATAATTGTAGATAGATGTAGATGTAGATATAAATAATTTAGTAGCTACAACAAAAAATAATACATATGCATTTCTTTAATTTAGAATTATGTGTCTACAATGCCTTTATTCAAAAAAAAAAATTATTCATTATCAATAAATTAAATAAGAGAAATAATTTCATTAGTTATATTGTCTTTATTTTTTTTTTTCGGTGTAAAAATTCTTTACATTCAAATTCATCAATTGAATGACCGTTGAGGAATATATTAAAAAAAACAAAAAACAAAACTTGTGTGTGACCGTTTCACCGTGAGACAGGTCGGATTAATATGAAAATGTAATACTTATACGTACAAATGTAATACTAATCAAGAATACAATTTTTATTACTTATGAGAGTAAATGTAATACTTTTACATTTCGCTTTAAAAGTCCTACATTTTCTTCAAAAGTATTATGTTTTCCTTATAAGTAAGGGACATTTGTCAACATTACTTATTATAGAAAATGTAATAATTTTGATAGAAAAAATATAATACTTTTACATCAAAATGAAAAAGTATTACATTTTTCTTCAAAAATATTACATTTTCCCTTATAAGTAACAAAAATTTTATTCCTTATTAGTATTACATAAATATGTCATTTGCATGTTAATCCGACCCGAACTGACCTGTATCACGAATAAGAATATGTGAGACGTTCTCACACTCTTAAAGTGAATCCATAGCGCGTGCTAGTGGTGTGTTCCAGCACGCGCCACGCGCCTCACGGGGCCTTTCTTCTTCCGGATAAAATTAATGGGTGCTTTCTTCTTCTTCCTCGGTCTCCAACCCTTTCTCCTCCTTCGATCCCTTTTCTTATTTACATGTTGGAAATTCCCTAATAATTCATCATTGTGAAAGCAAGCAGAGCAGAGAAACATATCAATAAAATGAAAGAAGCCGTTGAGCTATTTGGGGATTTATTTACCAAGTATTTATTAATATCATGAAAAAATACAAAAAAAAAATAATTAAGTCAATCATATTAACTACTTGGAGATTTAGTGACAAAGAGAGTATTCAAATCACACAACAAATTAAAGTGGGAAACTACCTCGCAATATCCTTGTTTGGCAATTAGTAGTTAGCGGTTAGCGTTAGCAGTTAGCAAATAGCGGATTATATTAGCAGGTTTAACCAGCAAATTATATCAGCAGTTGTTAAAAATACATTTGAAACAATTAGCTATTTAGATTAACATGTAAAAGGACCTAAATAGTATACATAATAATAATAATAATAATAATAATAATAATAATAATAATAATAATAATAATAATAATAATAATAATAATAATAATAATAAAATAAAACATACATTCGACTCCCTTTAGTTTTGTCACTTTTTTCATATTGGTGGGAAAAGTGATATGGGAACCTTGAGACAACAGTGAGGAGGAAAAAACAAATAAAAATTTCATCCTCAACTGTGAATGGTCAAAAGTCATGTTGAATGACCGTTGAGGAATATATAAAAGAAAAACAAAAAAAAAAAAACAAAACAAAATTTGTGTGAGACCGTTTCACCGTGAGATGGGTCGGATTAAGATGAAAATGAAATACTTATACATACAAATGTAATACTAATCAAGAATATAATTTTTGTTACTTATGAGAGTAAATGTAATACTTTTACATTTCGATTTAAAAGTCTTACATTTTCTTCAAAAGTATTATATTTTTCCTTATAAGGGGCACTTGTTAACATTACTTATTATGGAAAATGTAATAATTTTGATGAAAAATATATAATACTTTTACATCAAAATGTAAAAGTATTACATTCTTCTTAAAAAATATTACATTTTCTCTTACCAGTAACAAAAATTTTATTCCTTATTAGTATTACATAAATATTACATTTGCATGTTGATCCGACCCGATCCAACTCCTATCACGAATAAGGATAAGAATATGTGACAACGGTTAAAAAAAAAAAAAACTTTTTTGATTACATAAAGTGAATCCATAGCGCATGTCAGTGGTGCGTTCCAGCTCGCGCCACGCGCCTCGGGGGGCCTTTCTTCTTCCGGATAAAATTAATGGATGCTTTCTTCTTCTTCCCTGGTCTCCACTCTCCAACACTTTCTCCTCCTCCGATCCCTTTTCTTATTTACATGTTGGAAATGCGCTAATAATTCTTCATTCTGAAAGAAAGCAAGAAAGCAGAGAAACATATCAAGAAAATGAAAGAAGGCGTTGAGCTATTTTTCTTCCCTGCACTTGGAATGGGCCACCTCTTATCCGCAGTTGAAATCGCAGAGCTCCTTATCCACAGAGACCACCATATCTCCATCACCATCTTCATCTTGAAACCACCTTTCGACCTCAAAATCACCTCTTTCATCCAATCCCAAACCTCGCAAACGCGACTCAAGTTTGTTACACTCCCCATTGACGAGCCCATCGATTCCACCAACATTCCCACTCCTTCCATGATCCCCATCGACCCTTTCAAGCCTCGAGTCAGAGAATGCGTTCAAGAAACCATCCGAACTGTACGCCTCGGCGGATTCGTAATCGACATGTTTTCCACGGCCATGATTGACGTGGCCAACGAATTCGGAGTTCCGACCTATGTGTTCTACACCTCCGGCGCCGCCGTGCTCGGCTTCCTGCTGCATATGCCGAGCATCACCGTGGACGAGGGTATGGAGGATTTAAGAGGGTACAAGAGGGATCTCAATATCCCAGCTTACGTCAACCCTTATCCCCCCAACCAGTTCCCCTCTGCTCTGCTAGACCAACACGGTTTCGCAATGTTCCTCGCCATGTCCAAACTGATTAGTTCGACAAAGGGTGTACTTGTCAACTCCTTTCTTGAACTCGAATCCCACGCAATCAAGGCCCTCTCCCACTACCCAAACTCCCCTCCAGTATACCCCGTCGGACCGATTCTAAACCTGGCCGGCGCCGGTAAAGATAGCCAACAGATTTTGGAATGGCTGGACGACCAGCCGGAGGGTTCCGTGGTGTTCCTTTGTTTCGGGAGCGAGGGTTACTTCCCGGAGGAGCAGGTGAAGGAGATCGCTATTGCTTTAGAGCGTAGCGGGAAGAGGTTCTTGTGGACACTGAGGTGTATGCCGGAAAAGGGTTCTCTTATTCCCGGGGAATACAGCGATCCCGGAGAAGTCTTGCCGAATGGGTTCTTGGAAAGGACACAAGGAGTAGGGAAAGTGATTGGGTGGGCTCCCCAGGTGGCCATACTGAGCCACCCGGGGGTCGGGGGCTTCGTTTCACATTGCGGGTGGAATTCGACACTCGAGAGCATCTGGTTCGGGAAGCCAATGGCGGCATGGCCTATTGCCGCGGAGCAACAAGCCAATGCGTTTCAAATAGTGAAGGAGATAGGAATAGGGGTAGATCTTAAGATGGATTACAAGAGGGATTTCAAGGATGCAACCAAATTTTCAGAAATGGTGAGGGCGGAGGAGATAGAAAGGGGAATCAGGAGTGTTATGGATCCTCTAAATCCCATTAGGTTGAAGGCCAAAGAAATGAGTGAAAAGAGCAGATCAGCCATAGTGGAGGGTGGCTCATCCTACACTAATGTTGGGCGGTTCATCCAGGATGTCTTCAGCAACATCAATTAATATATAGTTTGTCTAGCTTGCTTGGTTTTGAACCAGGGTAGCAATCATTAATTTTCTTCTAGTTTCTAGAGTTCTCAATGATATGCATGCTAATAAGGTTAAAAAGTTTAAAACTAATTTGTACTATCAAGAAGAGAGTCTTGAGCAAGTAATGGTTGATTGGTTCTTTGTTTGTTTAAATATAATATTTGTGTTTGTTTAAAGAGCATTTCTACTGCTGAGTTTCGAGTCTTGGTGTATTCCGATCCCCCAAATATTGCCTACGGAATTAGTGAGCTAAGTTAGTGTGGGCTTCATTTTCTATTCTTGATGAAGTGTCATGCAATGATTGATTAAAAATATAGGATACTATGATTGATTAAAAATTAGGGTTACTATTTCTTTTTTTTTTTTTTTTTTTTTTTTTTTTTTGAGGGAGAAACAACTTAATTCATTAAATCATCACAAAGACAATGAACAAGACGTACAGGAAGGTGGGATATCCAACCATTTCCCGCAACCTGACTCAGAAAACGGCCTCCCGGACAATAATGTGGGCGGCGCGATTCGCAGATCGCTTAACAAAACGAAAATCAACATCAATAATTTCATATGCTAATTCTTTAATATCTCCTACTAGCAAGCCAAAAGCATAAAAGAAAAAAGGACTAGAAGTAGCCTTATAAAGAAGTTGCGAATCTGTTTCCACATCAATCTCACCCATTCCCGTATGTTTGAACCAGCTCAGAGCTTCCCTCATGCTAAAAGCTTCAGCTTCCTTTACATCATAGACACCATGCACACACAGATTCTTCACAGCTAGAAAAACACTATGATCATCCCATAGCACCCATCCAAGCCCCATTGTATTATTAGAATGGTCAATGGCTACATATCAGTATTTTCATCTTCACTCTCCCCCTTTGGGGCTTCTTCCATTTCTCAATGTGACTAGCTACGTGACCAGCACATGGGTTTCATTAGCTGCAACCAAGTTTTCTAGAAACATAATAGAATGTCGCAACATCAGATGTAAGTCGAACCCTACCCCTCCCAAACTGTGACATCCCGAAATTTATCCAACTTCTACGAATATTTTTCTAAGTAAAAGATTAATTCTTTGCTGAAAACCCCAATTCTCCTATTTAAAAATATCCTAGCCTAGTATTTACCTTGAGCCCAAATATTTCTAAGTCTTATATATATATATATATTAGTCGCGGGCACGCGCTTTGCGCAAAACGCCATACCCAATAGTCAATTATGTATTCTAATTTTTAAATAATGATAATATATATAAGTATTAATAATTGTTATATGAAAAATTAAATGTATATATAAATACATTATATAGATAGCAACATGATATAATTATAATTCCAAACATTGTCATGACAAATTAAACATAATAATACATCATTAATAATAAAATATTTTATATAATATATAGATTATTTTTAGCATTACGACAAAGTTAAACATTACTAACACATAATTCATTAACTCAATGACCGAACTTGTTTTTGGTGGACGTTAATAGACAATTCATTAGTAGCAGATGTTTTAAAAATTTCATATTCTAAATGAGGGTACAAAGAGTTTGTTTAAGAGATATATTTATGAGAATAACATAAAAATTAATTTTGACACAAAGAAAATAGAAGAATATACAATACATAAACATGTTATTTCACCTATCATTAAATATTCTAAAATCATAATGTTGATCGTTATAATTTGCTGCCCTACTGGTAATCAAATTTCACGAAAAAAATAGTTATTTGTAATAATCATAGCATCAAAACAATAAAACTTTCACATTAACATGTGAGATAGATATTGTAGTCATTCAAAATATTGCATTTTGATAAGTTTTTCAAAATATTTGTGTAATTTCAATTCAAAGTCTATTAGTGAAAGGACTTTGAACCAGAATTATAAAGCATCAAATTAAGGACAAACCATTTTTTTTTTCAAAAAAAAAAATGGAATATTTGATGCTGTCAAAAGTGCAAAAATATGATATAGATATTTGGCCATTGTTTGCCATACAGCTAAAGTTCAAAATAGATATATGTTAAGTCAGAGAATTATCCAAGCTTGAGCAACTTGGATTTTTCATTAGTAATGTCATCTTCTAAATATGCAAAAACATTTGAAGGCTGATTTGAAATTGAGTCTTCATCAGTGTCATCTAGATCAATTTTCTCTTGAGCCTTTTAGCAGTGGTGATTGACTTTTATTCCAGTAGAGATATAACATAATACTTAATTTGCTCACTTCCCCTAAAATTTTGTTTTCTGCATAGGAGTTCTACTTTGAAAGTTTTCTTGCTCAACTTCTCTTTAATATTTTGTAGATCAACAGTCTCATTCTACAAGAAGAAAGAAAACACAATAATCAAATATAAATATAGTCAATCTATTAACACACTCAATATCATTATTATGACTAAACAGCTAACCTTCTTGTCCATGTCTACCAATTTGGTGGCAGAGAGTGAAAGTAACTCCTCTACAATGTTTCCAAAGAGTGTAGACTCAAGTGAATCATTGGTTTCGGTAAGTTCAATGCTCATCATACACCTGAAGTATATATATTCCAAAGAGTGCAGACTCAAGTTAGTCATTGGTTTCGGTAAGTTCAATGCTCATCATACACCAGAGGTTTATATATATATATATATATATATATATATATATATATATATATATATATATATATATATATATATATATATATATATATATATAGCAATTACAAAGGGATGTAATGAATTAAAAAAATAGAAAATTTACCTTGGTTTTGCAATTACTTTTGAGTGTTCCACAATGTGAACACTCAAATTCATCACCCAAACTATGTGCAGTTCCTTTCCAACAACCATCACATGCAATGTAATAGAAGTTCTTCACCTTTGTTGAAATTTTTATACTTGCATAGATGCAATATCTCTTCCCCTTAAAAAGAGAAATGATAAATTTAAGAACCAAATAAAAATATGGTTATATTATAGTATAAGTTGGAAAATTTATGTAAAAGCATAAATATAAAGAAAAATAGTTAACCTCGATACTTGAACTCTTAACATTTGAAATGGTGACAAATGGTTCCTTTGACAAATCAGCAAGCTTTAGATATGCATCATTGAATGCATTGGTCAAAATAAGTGAATGCAACGTGACAGAATTTGATAATGCCCTGTTTATTGAATAGATAGCTCAACTCAATATTATGTGGAATAAGGATGCAAACTTTATTTTAAAGAAAAAGAATATAGTACCATTGACCAAGTTGTTCTGCTTTAGGTGTTGCAATATCAAAGTCAATTACAGAACCATATTGGGTTGTCAAGGAGAGACCTGAAAAGAGTACTTCAAATTAGTTTTCAAAAATGACTAAGTGTAAAAATAACTTTCAAAATGAAATAGAATATTGTATACACACCATTGTAGTTTGTCACATCAATCTTCTTTGCGAAAATTACAGGAAAATTACCTGCTGCAAGTTGTTTCTCTAACTCTATTCTTTCTCCTTTTGCATATTTTCCCCAAAGAGTAAAAATCACTGGTTTCGCCCTGACTATGACCATTAACCAAAACTAATTATATGTATGAATTTCATATGCAGTATCAATTAAACCATCAATTATGAATTGTTAGTAATTAAAAGTAGTAAAATATAAGAAAAACTCACTGTTCATCCACCAACACGATATCTGCAGCATCAATTTTTCTATTTTTCGAATCAATATGCTTCCTTGGCAGCTTGTGTATAACAACAGCCATAGCACCTAAATTTTATTGAAAGTAATAGTTAAAATGAAATGAGAGTTCTGTAATTGCATTATGAAGAATAAAGTTTGTTACAAAAAAATGTAAAACATACTGATTTTTTGTTCTGTATTAATGTACTTGTGAAAATGAGAAAATGAAATCTCATCTATTTTTGGTTCTTGCATAACTTGGAGTCCATCATCATCAGGAACATCAGCTACAGTACATTTTCTAGTTAAAGTCCAGAGGTAGTTGTATCTTTCATCCGGAAGCACAAGCTTTCCTCTAGGAATTGATACAATTGTATCCGTGATAATGTATGTTGCATTCAAACTTAACTTATTATCAAGGATGTCAATTTCATTTGCATACGTCATTGCCTGAACTTTGTAGCCCTTAAAAGAACGTACAACAAATTTTTTTTTAAAAAAAAAATCAATAGACTCAACACATGTAGTTTGCAACATAATAGTCATACTATAAACAAAATAAACAAATTAAATGTAATAGAATTACTCACGGCTTCATCTTGAAGAATAATTGGTCTGTATTTATTACCCGGCGTGGTTTTGGATTCTTGGGCATCCAATTTGTTTACAACACATACCTTACAAGACCAATCTTGTTCTCCAGGAGATACATCAGATATCAACAATCTTCTCACCATTCTGGTAATACATACATAAGAATTTATTAATTGTTAGCCATTATTTAAAATAAGATATTAAAGGAAAAAAAAGCATAAAACAAATATTCGAGAGTACGTACTAACACAACAAAAAAATAAATCATGTAGTTCATATATAGGGAAACTCATTTGTGTGAACTTGTATCAATCCCGGTCTGAATGCACTGTAAAATTTCAGGATACAAAATGTTATTTGTTATATTAGTGGTCTGATTTTCATCATCTTCACTGTGTATTATTAGCTTAACAGAATCTGACTTTCTTGCTCGAGACATGGCAACATACAATTGTCCATTAGAGAAGACTGGTTCTCTTAAGTATATTCCAACAAATCCAAAGTTTGACCTTGAGCTTTATTTATTGTCATGGCAAAACAAACTCTTATAGGAAACTGATATCTCTTGAAAGGAATGAGACAACTGTCATCTTTTGAAATCTGCACGTGGTATAAACACATGATTTCCTTTATGTTCTCCTATTGCAATGTAACAACTGATGACAAAATCTCTTAACTCCTCACAAATTAGCCTAGTACCATTGCACAATCCTTCAGATGGATTCAAATTTCTCAGCAATATTATTGGACAATTTTTCTTGAGTATTAGCTTATGTGGAGGCATGCCAGATGGTGAAAGAGTATGCAAATAATCTTCACAATGCAGATATTTTGTTGAATCAAGGAGCTCATCATAACTCACATAACACCTACTTGCACCAAGAAATTTATCAATTAATGTGGAATTTGTATCATCAACAAATTCATTCTTTGAAGTTAGAAGTGCTCTAGTCATCAATGAATATGGATCATTGAAAACGTTGTTTAAGTCTGGGTAGACTGCTTTAAACAAAACATCAAGTGAAGATTTTTGTTGTTGACACTGTAGGAGGAAAGAATTTGGAATTTTAATCTTGTTATCAACCAGAGTCGGCTCAGTTCCATTTCCAATGCGCATCAAATAATCTGAAAATCCTGGGTCTGATCTGGCTCGCATGTTTTCATCTAATCTCAAATGTTGAATTTTTGGCCACATTGATGGTGATTTTACCAAACTTGCTTCAATGAAGTCTTCTCTCTTTCCACCCCTAGTAACTGGCAATATCTGACGAAAGTCATCTCCAAAAACTACAACCTTTCCTCCAAAAGTGTCATCTGAATTCATTAGATCTTGAAGTGTTACTTCAAGGCTCTCAACACACCTACGATTGGCCATGGAAGCTTCATCCCACAAAATCAACTTGCTATGCCTTAGCAATTCAGCCTCTGCACTCTGTTTGCTAACATTACACACATATCTATTATCCCCATCAATAGGAATCTTAAACCTAGAATGAGCCATTCTACCACCCGGTAAAATTGAAGCTGCAATACCTGAACTCGCTATGGCAAGTGCAATCCATCCATGTGACCGAACCTTTGCCAATAAACATCTATAAAGAAAAGTTTTTCCTGTTCCACTAGGGCCATCAAGAAAAAAGACTCCACCAAAATCTAAATGTACCGCAGTCATAATTTTATCAAAAGCCAATCATTGCATGTTGTTTAATTTGTCAATACAATGCAAGTCATGATCGTTGACTCCCAAGTTTCTTTCTGCCTCAATTTCTTTATATTGTCTTTGAGAATAAGAGAGATAAATATCAGGATCAACTAAGTTAAAGTCAGTAATTTTTCTGCCATTTTTTTCTAGTAAGTTCTTCACAAGTTGAAGTGCCTTGATTTCAGCTGCAGACTCAGTATATTTAGCTGAGTGAATAAAATCTTGACAAAAGAATTCCATATATTTATTCCAAAACCTTACTGGATCAAGTAAATCACAGAAGACTAATAGAGTTGCAAATAACTATCTCAAACTTGTTGGCATTTGACACAAAATAGCTTCCTCAATACAACTCTCTATGCTAGAATCACTGGATAACAATCCCAATTTTCAGCAGCCTCTCTAAAGGTCTCTACCCTTTGTCCTTTTATTATTTTCAAACTGCAAAATGAAGTCGGAGCCCTTACATTCATTAGCAATAATCTTAAATAATAACGCTCACCTTCTGATGGCATAACTGATACAAGTCTTCCAATTACCTCTTTTTGTTTTCTTTGATGCCAACGTTTATCATTCAATGACCAAACAAAGAATTCTGGAAACTCAAGATATAATAGGTTAAGTTGTTTTGCAAGTTCATCTACTTTGTTCATGTAGAAAAATTGAGTCAACATTGTGTGAGACCGGTAATCTTGTTCTCCATTCTTTTCATCAACAATGCTAACCAACTTCTCATATTTATTGAATTTCATATACTGATAGTTTGGTAAATGAACTTGCAAATGCACAACAGAAGGTTTCATTTCAGCAAGATTAAAGCTAAAAATCCACAATACTGCCTCAGGCGGTGACACCCATCTTGCATTCTGAAATTCTTTAATTTCATCATATTCATCAACAACATTATTCCCACACAACCGAGTGCTAACTCTATCATGTCCTTTATAGATATACTTATAAATATATTTAACACACTTAATTCCAGCACATATTTCAAGGTTAACATGGCAATCAAACTTCTCCAACAAATATCGGTTATAAGGAACAACCCACCGGTTATCCAACTCATATCCCCTAACAAAAACAGTTTTACAAGTAGGTCTCCTACGATATATTGGGTAGGAATCATCACCTAACACTGTTTCATTAGAAAAGGATTTAGGGTATTTACTTTTACAGCACTTGTTCTTCCCTTCTCTTTTTTGGACCATGCAAGAAAATGTAGGATTTAAAGACCCACATGGACCATGAATCATATGCCTTGCAACTAAACTATGCAAATAAGGATCAACTCTTTTATCTGGTATTTCAGCACTGACAATCTTATCACATTGATTTGGTGAAGTAATTTTATGGCTCTCACGTAGAATCAGTAAAAAATGAGTATGAGGAAGGTCTCTCTTTTGAAACTCAATCACATATGTGTAGGCTGCAACTTCACCAAAGATTTTTTTTTTTCAAAATATCATCTTTCATTTCTTCAACTCGTGCGTGAAAAACTCTAGCAAGAAGATCGGGTCTATTTTGTGCCTCATCATTATATAATAACTCTTTAATCTCAGGCCAATTTGGATTGCATGTCATTGTTAAAAAAAAGGTCGGGCTTTCCAAATCGTTGAACAAGTGACATAGCATCCATGTATCTCCTCATCATATCACGTGGTCCACCAATAAAAGACACTGGCAATATGATTCTACGACCCACATCATCACCTATAGTTGCCCCAACACCAACACTATCCACTAATCCTTGATATGTCTCAATTCTAGATTGATCTTGTTGTGTCCTATAATAATCAAGTCTTTGATTTTCAATTTTAATATATATGTCAACAATAAATTGTTGCAAAAGTCGCCCAGTATGTAACAACAAAGAGTGATCATTTGGACGCACTTGAAACTTGTAGGCATAGTACTCTCTACAAGAAACACACCTCTTTTTTTTTTCCCTCACTCACAATTGACTCTTCAACTGCAATTAGTTCTTCCACAGATGAGACAATTGTAGGGTCAATAATGCATGATTGATGTTGTTTCCTTACTTTATTACATCTAAGGTCAAAATTTCTTTCTATTCCTTCATGCCAACCAGTTTGACCAAATGGAAACAAAAGAGCGTATTGTAACGGGTCGTAACAACCATAATAGTACTGAACACTATGGGAACACCCACTACAAGCATACACCTTAATGCTTCTGTTAGCTGGAACCCTATCAGAATCATTCTCTAGCCATATTGCAGCAACCTGTGAAGCTGTTGGCAAATTATAAACTCTATGATCTAATGATGTGGTTGAGTTCAAACTTATAACAAAGTCATCCCCAAAGTTGACATCCTTGAGACTTCTAAAGAACTGAGCATATGGGTTTTGGGACATAAGTTCAACCGGATCACTAACTATGCTTCTATCAAGTCTATCAACATACCCAACTCTATTATCTACTTCTGTCTCAGTGTCAAAGAAATAGAGTTGTAAATTACGGGATGAATGACCATGGGGTATAAGATCATCTATTAGATGATACATTTGTCTTTGAACTTTGAAGGTATATATTCCTTTGTTACGTCTACACAAATCCTCGTCATGATTGTGTATACCAAGAGACGTAAATGCAAATGTGTTATTATAAATTCTAACACAGTTTCTAAAATGCTTTGAAGCATCATCACGGTCAATGAATAAGTTTTTCAATACACAAGGCATTGCATTAGAAACAAGCTTGATTTGACCACCACGGCAACAATATCCAGGTGGTTCATACTGAATCCGTTTTGCACCACAACATCTGCAATCACTAACGACAGACAATTTAAAAGGGTGATTTTCAAAATCATCTACTCTTACTTCAAATGTCAAAGTTCCAATCACCAATTTGTTACATTTAATCACAATGTAAATTATGTTAATGTAGATTCACATATTCATTTATCATTCCAAAGGGGGGGAAAAAAGAGAAAAAAAAAAAAACAATTAGTAAAAATTCAATTGATGATGACATATAATTTGATTAACCAAGCAAAGCATAAAAAGATGATGATGATATTTAACCTGATCTAATAGGAACACTACAATGCGATTTGGTTTGAGAAGTCTTCTTTTCTTTTTCAACCGCTAAAGTATTAGCAGCTAACCTACGGCGTAGGTTTCTACGTTCCTGCTTAGACATATTATCAAAACATCTCTTTTGAACATTTCCACATTGTTGACCTTCATCAATAGGCTCTGTGTCACTAATATGGCTCATTGCTAATGCACTATGCACCAAAAATACAATTTAAAGGAAATCACATAAAAATTAGCAAAAACACACATAAAAAGCAATAAAAAACCATTATGAACCAAATAAAATATACCTTATAAGCTTTTCTTTAAAGCAAATAGTTTTTTCGAAACCTGAAAATTGAAGAAGAATAAAATATTAGTCATGTGTGCACGGGCATATTTCAAAACAACATCAAGAATCTAAGGCAATCAAAAGTCATATGGTATATGAACTCCAAACTGGGCATGGTAAAATTAAAATTTAATAGTTGAGACCATCTATCTGACCAAATGAGCCAATAGTTCTTTTATATGTATAATTGAGACAATATTCCTGTTCAATATAATGCCCGATTATATAACATTCAAACTGTGTGGTCGGATCATTCGGCACTTTTTCTGGATGTATATGGTTCGGGTTCGCTAAGGCGGGCACGTGGTTTCCCGTTTGAGAATGCGTGGTTAAGAGATGAAGGGTGTAGGGATGTGGTGGTGGAGGAGTGGTCTAATACGCAAGGGCTTGATTTCCAGGAAAGGTTGAGGTTGTGTGGCCGGGGGCTCAAGAAGTGGGGGGGAGAGCATTTTCATAAATATGGTTCCAGGATTGAGGCAATTAAAAGGGAGATGAATAGTTTAAGAGGCCAGATGGATCCGATTTCCTTGGGGCGTTTCACGCAGCTTGATGGACAACTGAGTACTGTCTTGTTGCAGGAGGAGTCCTTTTGGAAACAAAGGGCGAAGCAGCATTGGCTGCAAGGAGCGGATCGGAACACAAAGTTCTATCACCAGTATGCTACGCACCGAAAATGTAAGAACTCCATTTTGAGGCTTAATGATGGGAATGGAGTATGGAAGGAGGGTGATGGGCTTGTCTCTCTGGTGACAGGCTATTATAAGCAGATTTTTCAGACTAATAGAGACATGGGTACTTTCCAGGTAGATACCTTATCCCCCCGTGTCACTCGTGTGCAGAATGATGATCTATTACGACCCTTCGAGCCTGCGGAGGTCAAGGATGCTTTATTTGCCATGGGTAAAGATAAATCACCAGGACCGGATGGAATGAATCCGGGGTTCTATCAGGCTTTCTGGGATCTCATTGGTAAGGACTTAACTGATTTTGTTCTTGCTTGTTTATCTCAATCTTCCTTTCCCCCTGAATTGAATGATGCCAATATTGTTCTAATCCCGAAGAAGGCTGCCCCTGAGATGGTTACTGATCTGAGGCCTATTGCTTTATGCAATGTAGTGTATAAAGTAATGGCTAAGATGATAGCTAATCGTATGAAACCGCTTTTGGATGGTATTGTCTCAGAATCGCAGAGTGCCTTTCTTCCAGGTAGACTTATTTCGAATAACATTCTCATTGCATCTGAAGTAGGTCACTATCTGAGAAGGAAACAGTTGGGCCAGGTGGAATGGGCAGCCCTAAAGTTAGATATGGCCAAAGCTTATGACCGAATGGAATGGAGGTTTGTGGAGCGTATGTTGTTGGGACTTGGTTTTGATGCAAGGTGGGTTGATTTAATTATGTTATGTGTACGGACAGTCAGGTACAGGGTACTAGTCATTGGGAAGCCAAGTGAGGAGATTTTGCCCACAAGGGGTCTAAGGCAGGGTGATCCCTTATCACCGTATCTTTTTATCATTTGTGCAGAGGGCTTGTCTTTATTATTGCAGGATGCCCAGACTAAAGGTCGGATCCATGGCTGTAGGGTGGCTCGTGGGGCCCCGCCCATCTCTCATCTCTTCTTTGTTGACGACAGCTTACTATTCTTTAAGGCTAACATGCAGGAGACGATGGAGGTGAAACGTTGTTTGGAAGTATATGAGCAATTCTCCTGGCAATCTGTCAATTATCATAAGTCTAACATTTCTTTTAGTCGTAATACTACTTTGTTAGACAGGGATGCCATTGCCATGGGACTGGGGGTGGAGCAGGCGGAGGATTGTGGCAAATATTTGGGTCTCCCCTCAGTTGTGGGTAGGAACAGAAAAGTTGTTTTTTCCTATGTGGAACAGAAACTGAGGCAAAGATTTGGCTCGTGGAATATGAGTATTTTTGTTGCCTGTATCATTATGTGCTTCTCTGGAAAGCTTGATGAATAGGTACTAGTGGGGGAAGAGTACCACTGTAGATGGGATACACTGGATGGCCTGAGATAGAATGTGTGTTCCTAAAAAGTATGGTGGTATGGGTTTTAAGAAGCTGCATGAATTTAATTTGGCGCTATTAGGGAAGCAGGGTTGGCGGCTCTTAACCAAACCGGATTCCTTAATGGCCCGAATTTTTAAGGCAACATATTGTCGCGATACTACCTTTTATGAGGCATCTTTGGGTGGTAATCCGAGTTATGTATGGAGGAGCATTATGGCAAGCCAGAGTCTGATCCGTAGTGGCTGCAGGCGTAGGATTGGTGATGGTAGAACTACCAGGGTATGGTCTCACCCGTGGCTGCCTGACCCTCAGAATCCGTTTGTGTTAACTGATCATGTTGCCCAACATCCGGAGCTTTTGGTAGCTGACTTGTTAGATCATGATCAAGGAAAATAGAACCACGAGCTAGTTATTCAATTGTTTGATCCTAGGGATGTTGAATTAATATTCCAAATCCCTGTGAGTAATAGTTTCAAAGATGACTGGTTTTGGAAGGGGGATATTAGGGGACAATATACGGTAAAGGATGGCTATAGATGTCAAGGGGAGTTGAGCATCACCCCGGAGGCAGTTTGGAACAACATTTGGAAGCTTAGGGTCCCTCCCAAGTGGAGGATTTTTCTATGGAAGGCCCTTTCTAATATTTTGCCAACTATTACCAATTTGGTTAGGAAGAGAGTAGAAATTCCAAATATTTGCCCAGCTTGTGGGGATTATGAGGAGGATGTTATGCATATTTTATGCACTTGTATTTATGCTAGACGTGTGTGGAATGTTTCACGTCTTCTAATCCCTAATGTTGATGGTTATGATTTTGTGCAGTGGGTGGAGGCTTGGTTAGGAAGTTCAGCAACATCTGCTGGGTTTCTAAAAGAGCAAATTTGCGGAATACTCTACGAAATCTGGAGAGCCCGGAATATGGCTGTTTGGGATTCTTTTCTACCAACTCCCTCGCATTTATGTCACACCTATCACAATGTTTGGAGTGCCTGGACTACAGCAAATATGTTAGACAATACACCCACACTGCCTGCGCCCTTACCTACTGTCTTGCTGCCGCATGCTGCTACAAACCAAGCTGCTCCCCTTGATTCAGTAGCCCACTTAGCTGCTGCCTTACTGCCGGCAGAAATTGTAGACGCGCCAGTCCAGTCTGATTGCGTGGGCTGCTTCACTGATGCAGGTTTTGACGGTGCAATGCCAACTTACGGCTTTTATGTACGCAGCGCACAAGGTGACTTCGTTGCGGCTGCTAATGGACCACTCATATGTCCGTACGATCCACTACTAGCTGAAGCAATGGCGATACGAGAGGCCCTATCATGGTTACAAGAGCACGACTTTCAGAATGTTGCGGTGTTCACGGATTGTGCGACCCTGGTTTCTTGCTTCCGCGATACGTCTATCTACCGTTCGTATCTAGGTGTTATTTTAGACTCATGTTTACAGTTGTTTCGTTCTTTTCATTATTGCTCGATTCATTTTGTACGCAGAGATGCCAATTTGGTAGCTCATGCCTTAGCAAAACATGTTAGTGCGACTAATACTCGTTCGGTCTGGAGAGATTATCCTCCACCCTTTGTCTCGTTTACAGTTTAATGCAATATAATTTCCTTGGCTTTCAAAAAAAAAAAAAAAACATAATCCTACAATCACATCCGGGTCTGGGGTTTACTGAGTGCTAATGCCTAACAGTTTATGTTCCTTCACCCCCAACCTACAATGACATCCATGCAGCACTTCTTATGTATAAGATGCATAAAAGTGTGCAACATTGGACTTGTGGAATTGAACTTAGATGCAAATTTATAATTTTTATGGTGGGGTGGTGAGAGAAGTGTGGAAACCAGATTCATAGGACAAGTGTAAAACAATCTAATGTAAAAAAAATACTTAAATAAAAAGTTGGAGATTATATATATATATATATATATATATATATATATATATATATATATATATATATATATATATATATATATAGGGACGCACTCAGGTGCGAATAAGTGCCCAGGAAGGAAATGCGAACGAATCAGCGCGCGACACGTGTCCAGCTCTAATAACTTAAAAAAAACGCGGTGGCATTTTCGTAAATAATTGAACATCGAAGTGCAAGTAAAATCTCTTATAAGTGCACCTATTTTCACCTATAAGTGCATGTAATTTTGCCTTGTTAGCATTCACTTTCCGCAACCATTCATGCACCTGGGTGTGCTTATAACTATATGTGCAACTATTTATAACTATAGGTGCAACTACTTATAACTATATGTGCAACTACTTATAACTATAGGTGCAACTACTTTCACCTATGAGTGCATGTAATTTTGCCTTGTTAACATTCATTGATCTGAGTTCAGCGGGTAGTAATACTCCTGAAAACCATTCATTGATTTGAGTTCAGCGGGTAGTAATACTCCTGAAAACCACTCGCAAACATTCATACACCTAGATGCAACTACTTATACCTATGTGTGCAACTACTTAGAACTATAGGTGCAACTACTTAGAACTATAAGTGCAACTAAGTATTGATGCTCAGTGTAAATTTTTACTTGCACCTATAATACATTTTACATGCACTTGTAATACATTTTACTTGAACTTCGATGTTCAATTATTTACGAAAATGCCACCGCGTTTTTTAAAAAAATCAGTGTTTCTCATCCATTAGATCTGGACACGTGGACGAACAGAATCCATTCCTATTTCACGCCTGGGCGAGCCGTTCGCACCCGAGTGCAAGTCTATATATATATATATATATATATATATATATATATATATATATATATATATATATATATATATATATATATATATTAGATTTGTTGTTATATTACATGCATTTGAATGTATAATTAAAGCAGAATGTTGTTCACCAAAAAAAAAAAAAAAATAGAAGATGCAGTAAGATCATTTTCAAGTTTTCATTTTTATTTGTTGATCTTTGGTTTCATTCCATACTCAGAATGCATATCCTTCCTTTAAGGCACAAAACAAAAGAATAAATCATTCAAGACAATCATAAATCACACACTAACATATGTCAATAATTATAAACATGAGAATTCACATAAATAAACAATTATTTAAGAATTTTCTATTTTATTTTTTCAGAATAAATACATTTTTTAATTATATTACAAGCATTATGTGAACCTGTGATACACAACATACATAAAAAAATCATTCAAAGATCATTTCTCCATTTTTTTAATGAACATTAATGGTGAAAAAAATTCAGTAAGATTATTTTAAATTTTTTCATACATACCATAGCAATAGTAAAAACAAAACCAACAACTACTTTGTAGATTCAGATATACATTAATTATCACAAAGAGGTGTAAAACATAAGCGGAAATGAGAAGAGAATTAACAAAAAAAAAAAAACACATGAGTGGTCAACAATGATAGATTGAATGGTGTAGCAGCCCAACCATAGAAGGTTTAGCCAACAAAGTGCATGTAATGGAGAAGAGTAATATTAAAAAAAAATAGTTTGATGTTCCCTATAAACTATTAATTTTTATTTATTTATTTATTACATCTGCAAACAACAATATCACTCAATGCTAAGAAATAAGGACAAAGAAACAAACATCATTATTTCTCCATTTTTTTAATAAACAATAATGAAAAAATGCAGTAACATCATTTTCAATTTTTCCATACATACCATAGTAATAGTAAAAAATAAAAACACCAACAACTACTTTATAGATTCAGATGTACATTAATTATCACAAAGAAGGTGTCAAACATGAGAACAGAATTTAAAAAAAAAACATGGGTGGTCAACAATGGCAGATTCAAAGAGTGGGTTAAATCTTTGCATGTATCTGTAAAATTCACATTGAACACATTCTAGAATTACCAATATGTAATGAATCAGTGTGCAGAAATCTCCAAATCCAAAAGGAACAATTTTACATGCATAACCCAGATTCAACAACCACAAGCATTATCAAAAAGCTCAATATCAGACAACTAAGAAAATAGAGGAAACGAAATGAGAATGGATTAAAAATTACCAAGAGGAAAGAAAGACACTTACCTCTATCCGAACTGGAGAAACCGAAACCAATTTCCTGGCATGCAAGCTAAACACACCAATTTCGTAGTTTTGAGACTTCTAAAGAAAAAGAAGATCAGAGAATCAAAACTTATATAATCACTTATTTTATACAAATAAATTTGAAGACAAAAAAAAAAAACACAAAAATTAGAACTTACAGTTTGGCAGAACTCACAGCAATCAGAAATTATGCAACTGAAAACACTCCTTTGCATATATTGGTGTGATAGAGACTTTTGAGGAGGGTAATTAAACAGACCATTGTATAATTCACTCATCTCTGTACCTACCGTTGAAATGTCTGTAAAATACATGGGAATTCAAACTAATCAACGGACAATTGGTTGATTTGTCGGACAATGCGATGAGCTAATCAAAAGCTACTAAAATTCGGAGTTACCCGGGCAAAAATGCTATTACCTAGAGGATAATGTAATTGAGAAGGAAACATCTGAAAAATTTTTAATTTCCGTACACATTGATAGCAAGCCTGTAGTAATCTCTCTTTCCTTTTGCTTATTTCCATCTATACCTGGTTGGTTTAACTAAGGAATGAAGATGATGGAAAAACACAGAGTAGAGAAGAAAGAGAGAGGCACATGGGTAGAGAAGAAAAAAAGAAATGGGTTGATGAAATTGCTATGAAGAAACTAAGTTAGAGAAGAAAGAGAGAAATTAGTTTTAGTTGACGGAATTGCTTGGAAGAAACCAGAAAGCCAGCTTAGGAAAACGTGCACCACCACTAACTTCTGTCCTAATCTCTCTCTCTTTATATGGCAAACTTGTAATTTATTTACAAGGAGAGGGCAATAGAAAAAAAATTAATCTAAATATTATATCAAAAAATGTAAGCAATAAGATTTCAGATCAATGGCTGATAGGAGTGCCATTTTTGAGGGGTAATTGGGCAACTCCCAAATATAAGTATATATATATATATATATATATATATATATATATATATATATATATATATATTTAGGTTCTGGTGCGGTTAGGGTGCCCAGGTGCGGTTGTGCGGTTTAATCTGGACAATTCATCTCGCTTAAATCAACGTCCAGAAACGTCAATTTTTTTTTTAAAAAAATGCGGTGGCAATTTTGTAAATTTTGCATGTAGGTCAAAATTAAGGTGAGCGGATCTGTGATTAATGTGCGTGGGGTTTGTGCTTAATGTGCGTGAGGTTGTGCTTAATGTGTGTGGGGTTTGTACTTAATGTGCATGAGGTTGTGCTTAATGTGAATAGTTGTTGAAACTTAAAATCTGTGAGTTAATATATTAAAGTGCGTGGGGTTTGTGCTTAATGTGCGTGAGGTTGTGCTTAATGTGTGTGGAGTTTGTACTTAATGTGCGTGAGGTTGTGCTTAATGTCAATAGATGTTGAAACTTAAAATCTGTGAGTTAATATTTAAAGTGCGTGGGGTTTGTGCTTAATGTGCGTGGAGGCTGTGCTTAATGTGTGTGGGGTTTGTACTTAATGTGCGTGAGGTTGTGCAGACGCTATCATTTGTGTAGACGCTGTGTGTAGACGCCATCGTTTGTGTAGACACTATGTAGGAGCTATCTTCTTCCCGACACGCGTTTTTTTTTTTTATAATTTTTATTGATTTGAGCCGTTGATCTAAATTTGATCAACAGCTCAGATCTAACCGCACAACCGCACGGGAAGCTATACCCGCACCTGAACCCTTCTATATATATATATATATATATATATATATATATATATATATATATATATATATATATAAGAGCGCTCATATGCGGCGGGGTCTTACGGTGCGGCGGTGCGGTCAAATTCGGAAATTCCAGAATACACCAACAGTGTTAACAATATGCACCAACAGTGTAATAAAAACACACCCCAATGAAATGTAATAAAACATCACAAAATACATCACAGACTCAAAAAAACACACCATATAACTCACCACCCCCAATGGTGTATTTCCGAACAGTGTATGGTGTTTTTACTCACACCTAATGGTGTGTGTTTGGTGATGCAGGGCTCTGTTTACTCTGTTTTGTGTGGTGTATTTCCTAACGTTGATGGTGCATATTTGGTGAACTATTGGTGTTGCCGCACCTGAACCCGCCTCTATAAATATATATATATATATATAGGGTAGAGTTCCAGTGAGAACATGTGCTTAGGTGAGAACGTGAGAACACATCATGTGCATCCATCTAATATTTTTTAATGGTCTAGATTAGATTAAGTGTGTGCGAACGCGCATTAAATATATGCAAACACGATTTAGTGTTTTGCACACATTTAATGCGCGTTTGCACACACTTAATCTAATCTAGACCATTAAAAAATATTAGATGGATGCACATGATGTGTTCTCACGTTCTCACCTAAGCACATGTTCTCATTATATATAATTGGATCCTAGGTGTGGGCTTCCTTAAATATATATATTCCTTGTATAAAATCTCTTTAATTCTTCTAACCCAAGCCCATGTAAATATTATTATATCTATACAAAACCCACCCATACAATAAAAGCCCACTACCTTAGTCTTGCATTCCTTATTATATACACATGAATACATATAACTCCTTATCCATAAAAGACTTAAAACCTAGATATTTTCTACACACACACTCTCTTTTCCTTGCCTTCTCCTTCATGCCATTTTCATCGACTACCACACAAAAATATCTTCCATTTTCATACTCAAGAGAACAAGACCAAGATTCCATCTTTCTACTTCACAAAGCTTAGGAGTGGTAAGATCAAGCTTTCTACACCTTTTCTATTCAAGATCTCTTCACTTTTTCTAAATCTTTATTCTTTTAATATGTTGGGTTTGGGGTTTTAAAGAAGATCAAGTGGATGGTGACATGCTAGGATGAGCTAGGAGGAGCTTAGTTTGGTTTGCTATCTAGAGAGGTAACCTTATGTCCATGAAAACTATTTTAAACTCCATATTATGTATTCTTGATGAATTTGAGCATAATCTTGTGTTTATGTTTGTTTTAGAGTTTGTATGTTAGGTGTATACTTGTGTTGATGTGTCATTTCTTCCATTCCAAGTTATATTCGTTGTTGGTTTGATTATTGTTGAGTTTTGAGTTGATTCTTGCATTTGGGAAATTATCTCGGAACCCTACTGTTTCTACAGGAAGTTTGGCCTTGCGGGGGTGATCAACGGGCACGGCACACCCGTTGAACCCACCCGTGTGAAGGCAAGATGGGTATTTGGTGGGGGTGGAGGTCCCGCCAAACCTTACCGTGTTGTTCCCACGGGGGTACTTGACGGGCCCTCCGGTCCCGCCAGAACCACCCGCTGGTTCATTGTTGTTTCGCTTCTAGAATTGTTTTGTTGCCTCCCGTGCACTTTTGAGTATTTGTTGATGTTACTTAGGTCTAGAGCGGAGTATTATGAGCCTATTGATTAGCATTTGAGTCTTGATTCGTTGTAAAGATCCAATCTTTATATTCGTTGGATTATTGTTGAATTCTATGTTGGAAATCCTTTGTATTTCTTTTGTAAGAACCCTTGTGAATATCCTATTGACGTGCATGCTAGTAACGTTGTTTCTTTGATGCTAGTATGAGCTCTTTTGGTATCCTTTCCTTGATTCTTGATTGACTTGTTGACTTGAACCTATCTATTCGTTGTAACATTTAGTTGGAATTCTTTGTTATCGAGCTATTGCTTTTGGACTATCTCTTTCTTGTATCTTTCTTGAAATCCATTGACATTGAGCTATCGTTGTCAAATTATATCCTTCTGGTATCTTATCTTTGGAATTCCTTGATCTTGAGCTATTGATTGAGATTATTCATTGTTGAATATCCTTCTTGTGGAATCTATTTCATTGTCTTTGCTTCTTGAGATTCCCTTTGTTGAATTGAATCCTTGTTGAGATTGTTATGCTGGAACAGTGGATAGTGTGGGGACGTATTGATATGAGATTGGCGGGCCTCTGGCTCTGTTTGCAATGGGTTCTGTTAGTGTGGGAAGCCCTGGTCAGGTCGGTTGTGTAGAAAACCCCGATCAACCATTGTGAACTGATTCGGTAGTGTGGAAAGCTCCGGGTTGCCGTTTGGATTACTGATTTGCGGGAAACCTGGTAGAAACGTATCCTGGGTTGTTAGATCTAGTTCTACTTATTGGGGCCTGGAGATCCCAATAAGGGTATATACACTTAAGGTATTAGAACTGTCTCTATTTGATTTGATTGATTGATTGATTGTGATACTTGAGATATTGTGTCCCTGAGTGGACTTGAGCCGTCTGTGAGCCCTCCACACTAATCCACTAGCATTTGAGTCGTTGACTTTGCGGTATTTGAATTATTGATTGTCCATGTGAGGACTTGGAACTTGATGTTGATATTGATTGTGTGACTATGATGAGAACTGGATTATGCGTGTATAATGTGATTGATATAAACTTCTTATTGTTCATAACTCGATATTTTTATCTCATTGAATCAGTCCCGTTATTGAGATCCTTATTGTATATTGTCATGTCGTTGAGTATATTTCTCGAGTTGGTCTTGATTCGATTCCATTCTCTATCATTTATTGAATTAGAGTTTACTAGTAATATATACTTATGTATTCCCAAGTCTCAAAACCTATTTTGAGTATGAAAAGTATATCTATGTAACTCTACATATTGGAGTGGGGTTACTTAGCATCTATCACTAATCCTTTTAAAATGTTTTCAGGTATGGAGTAGAGATCTTACCGAGCTCGCTTAGCAGGATATCTAGCTTCTCTACCCTAGCTAGTTTATGTTTTGCTTTCTAGACTATGATGTTTTGCTGGGATGTAGTTTAAAACCTTGATGTCAGTACTATGTTCTGTATTGGTTTTAGCTTTGGCCTTAACACTTAGGCTGTTGACCTAAGTATGGCATAACACCTTGGTTAAGACTATGTTGCTTCCGCAGTTTTAAATCGGACTTAGACTTTATTTATCCATCTTTATTAAGTTTTATGCTTAAAATTATGTTTAGAACCGGGGGTGTTACACAAACACTTTGATTCCGACTGCACCACAGGCCCCAACAAACCATCAAGAATTTGGGTGACAAATCAGCATCTAGCATATTGAGGCATCCAAAGAACCAATCATTTACAGAGTTATTCGCTGCTGAAGGGATGTTTAAACCAGCCTCAAAGTAGGCTCACATTGCTTCCAGACAATTTGCGAAAAGGTGGCATGCACTCTCCTCTTCACATCTGCACATGTGACACATCAAGTTGCACTCAATATGCTTCCTAATAAGCGCATCCCTTGTTGGCAAGTAAGACGACGCTAGTTACCATCCAAATGATTTTACTATCGGTGGTATCATCATATTCCAGATTTTCCTCCATGGCAATGTGTTATATATAAACCCCATCTGGCTCCTGTAGCTAGATTTCACAGTATATTTGTTAGAACTTATATATTAGTGTTCTACTAGGACTTTAGTTATGTGTTTTCTATATTATTCTTGTAACTGGCTTTGTTAATATTACATAAGATATTCTAGCCTCATCTGGTATGAGTTGTATCCAGGATTCTCTCCCATGGTAGCCAACGATAACAGTTCTATTAGTGAATCTTCTGAGCGGACTGTTTCCGTGGTGGCTGTCGCTCCTCCTCCTCCTACCGCCAGTTTGTCTTTTGCACATCACTTCATCTCCATCAAGTTAATCACCCGTAATTACTTGTTTAAGAGGACGCAGTTGATTCCCTTTCTAGACGGTCAAGACCTTTTGGGCTATATCGACGGGACCTTTCTTTGTCCGACAGATTCTTCATCGACGGCGTCGACGGAGGCAGGTGGCGATGCTGGTGCATCCTCAAGATTGATGCAACGACAGTGGTGTCGGTAGGACTGGGCCATACTTTCACTATTAATCTCTTCACTATCGAAGGAGACGATGCATCTCGCGGTTGGCCGGATTACTTCCCTGCAGCTTTGGACGGCGATTGAGTATACGGGGCTCGTCGACTCGGGCTCGTACATTTCAGCTGCTTGGCGAGTTGCAGGGATTGCGGCAAGGCGATGCATCCATCTCAGATTATCTTGCTCGAGCTCAGATGTTGGTTGAAGACTTGGCACTTGCTGGATGGCTGGTCACGCTAGACGATCAAAACCTCTATGTTTTTCGTGCCTATGTCTGGAGTTTTGTCCGTTCATTGCTTCTCTCACGCGTGGAGATTCGGTTACTCTCTCAGAATTATCTGATTTTTTAGTTGCGCATGAGTTCATTGCCGATGATGGTGTTGATCACGGTGGATCGGTGGCGATGACTGCTCGTCGTAGTGGCCATAGTGGTCGAGGCGGCGGTAGACAACCTCGTGGCAGTCGCAGTAGCGGCTCCGGTGGTGGTCGCGGTCGAGGGAGTCAGGGGCGTGGCCGTGGGCGGTCGCGTTCCGGTGTACGTTGCTAGATATGCAACGGCTAAGGTCACTCGGCTTTGACGTGCTATCGTCGTTATTCTAATGCGCCCGGGCCTCAGGCGAATGTCGCGTATCCGACCGAGGATACTAGCTCCGTTGGTTCTCATCAGTGGTTCCCTGATACATGTGCCACCAACCATGCTACCCCCGATGCTTCGTTGATGTCATCCGCGACCTGTTATGATGGTCTAGACACTCTACGAGTCGACAATGGTACATGTTTGCCTATAGTTAGTGTCGGATCTGCTTCGGTAACCTCTTCCTCTAGGTTGCTTAAGTTGTCTGATGTCTTGTATGTTCCTGGGCTTTCCTCTTCGTTATTATCTCTACAGAATTTTGCTAGTGATAATGACGTGTTTTTTGAATTTCACCCTACTTGTTTTTTTGTGAAGGATCGTTCGACCAAGAAAATTCTTTCTAAAGGATGTGCGTCTGGGTGTCTCTATCGCTGGCCTATTCCGCGTCATACTCCGGCTGCTTTTGTTGCTGCCCGTGCGGCTTCGTCGGTGTGGCACATGCGGCTTGGGCATCTCATTCGCGTGTTTTGCGTCAGATTTTGCAATCATTTTCTGTTAGTTCTTTTAATTCTAGTGATTTGTCTAGTGTCTGTTATGCATGTCAATTGGGAAAGTCATCCCGTTTTTCATTACCTCGTGTTGCTCAGTCTATTTCTCGTGTTTTGGAACTTGATATACTGATATTTGGGGTCCTACGCCATTAATTTTTACAAATGGATATCGTTATTTTGTCTTATTTGTATATGATTATACGCGTTACGTTTGGTTTTATCCTATGCGTGCAAAATCTGGCCTCTATTTAATTTTTGATCGTTTTCATTTGTTGGTTGAACGTTTGCTTTCCTTTAAAATTATCTCTCTTCAGTCCGATTCAGGGGGAGAATATAAAAAGCTGCACAATACATTGTCTTCTCTTGGGATTCGGCACAAGCAATACTGTGCTTATACCCATGAGCAAAACGGTTGGGTAGAGCGTAGGCATCGCCATATAGTCGAAATAGGTCTTGCTTTTATGGCTCAGGCGTCTGTCCCTTCTCGTTTTTGGGACTACGTGTTTGAGACGGCAGTTTACCTTATTAATAAAATGCCCACTCGTGTGTTAAATAACGAGTCTCCACATTTTCACTTACACCGTTCTCCGCCTTCGTATTCGTTTCTTCGCTTTTTTGGGTGTCTTTGTTTTCCCTTGCTGCGTCCTTATAGCCGAAACAAGTTACAGTTTCGTTCTGCATCCTACGTCTTCTTAGGTTACCCAGATTCGTTTCAGGGCTATCGGTGTTTAGATATCCACACTAACAAGGTTTTCATATATCGTCATGTGCGATTCGATGAGACTATTTTTCCTTTTGATGTTCCTTCTCTAGAGGTTGATGCATTGGTTGTTGTTGCTTCGTGGGGGACCGCTGTTATTCCAGTTGTGCTACGTGCCCCTACTGGTGTGAGTCAGGCACCAACTGTTTGGCAACAGGCTCCCGTCGTTGCTGCGTCCTCGGCATCCAGTGAGCGCACGATGACGGAGGTTGTGGAGTCGCGGCCTGCTCGTGGATGGCGTGTTGCCAAGACGGTTCATTCGCGGTCTCGCCAGATTGTCACGCATAGCATGGGCTCAACTGAGCATGTTACGTTGGCCACTATTACGGGTATATCCGAACCCACGTGTTATACTCAAGACGCGTAGGTTTCTGAGCTACATGAGGCCATAAATCTAGAGTTTAATGTGTTGTTGCAGAACAACACTTGGCGGTTGGTTCCTTATACTCCATGGTATGAATGTTGTGGGGTGTAAGTAGGTGTTCCGGGTTAAACGGAATGATGATGGTTCGATTGAACGTTATAAAGCCCGTCTTGTGGCTAAAAGTTTTAATCAGGTTGCAAGGCAAGATTTTTACAAGACCTTTCATTCGGTAGTCAAGCCCACGCCGGTTTGGCTTCTTTTATCTTTGGTCGTGTCGTGGGGTTGGTCGATTCAGCAGTTGGATATTCACAACGCATTCTTGAATGGTGCTCTAGCTGACACTGTGTATATGCGCCAACTGCCTGGCTATGAGGACAAAGCGTTGCTTGACCACGTGCTTGCTGCAGCGGTCGCTGTATGGTCTTAAGCAAACTCCACGTGCCTAGTTCACTCGGTTGCATAATTTTCTGGTTACGGTTGGCTTTACTCCCTCTAAAACTGATGTGTCTTTGTTTATTTATTCTCACAGTGGTGTTCAACTTTATTTTTTGGTGTATGTGGATGACATTTTGGTCATGGGTTCTGACTCGGCTCGTGTGGCCGAACTTGTGGCTAAAATGGCGTTGGAGTTCAAAGTTCGAGATATGGGCACTCCGTCTTTTTTTCTTGGCATTGAGACTATTCCGTTGTCTAGTGGGATGCTTCTTTCGCAGCAGCGGTACATGAAGGACATTCTTAAGCGGGCTGGTATGGTTGACTGTAAGCCTATTTCTACTCCGGTTTCCCTAGTCAAATCTGATGATGCTACTCCAGTTCCTTTTGCCGATCCTACTCAGTATCACAGTTTAGCTGGGGCTCTACAATAACTTATGGTAACTCGTCCTGATTTATCCTTCGTTGTTAATAAATTATGTCAGCATATGCATGCTCCGACCATGGCTGACTGGAACATGTTGAAGCGTGTGTTGCGCTATGTGAAAGGCACTCTAGGTTTTGGTTTGTGTATTCAGAAGTCTGAGTCTATTGATATTCATGCCTTTTTTGATTTGGATTGGGCTGGCAATCTGGATGATCGCAAGTCTACGAGTGGTTTTGCGGTTTATTTGGGCAGTAACTTGGTTTCGTGGACGTGTCGGAAGCAGCGTACGGTTGCTCGGTCTTCTTCTGATGCTGAGTACAAGGCATTAGTTGATGTGTCTACAGAGGTCACTTGGTTGGTTTCTCTGCTATGGGAGATTGGTCTGCCACCAATGTCTCCGCCTAAGCTTTGGTGTGACAACATGGGTGCTACGTATCTGTGCACCAATCCCGTGTTTCATGTTAGGACCAAGCATGTAGAGATCGACTATCACTTTGTTCATGACAAGGTCTCCAAAAAGGATCTGCTGGTTCATTTTATTTCCACTAAGGATCAATTAGCTGGTATTTTTACTAAGGCTTTGTCTTCTATTCGTTTTTGTTTTTTGAGAGGCAAGCTCAATGTTGCTAGCAACCTTGTGCTTGAGGGGAGTGTTAGGACTTATATGTTAGTGTTCTACTAGGACTCTTGTTATGTGCTTTCTATATTATTCTTGGAACTGACTTTGTTAATATTACATCAGATATTCTAGCCTCATCATATTCACCTTTGTGATCTCAATGTCAGACCCAAAAATCAGACGGTTTACGGATGCTGATAGGAATTTTCATAATTAACTCCGCGTCGCGAGCATTAAAAATGTCCTTGACGCAGTCACTATCCCAGGTACCGTGCTCATTTAGTAACGAAGCAACCAGAGCATTGTAAGTTGTATCATGCAGCACAGTCGTCTGACAGCCAAGGCCCCTTACCAATCAAAGTATCAACGCCGTTGCCAATTGCACGTCTACCGCCATCCACCAACAATATAGGAGGGATTACTCCCTTCCTTTGCCTCAAAGAAATCAGACCGAGGATAGTATCGTGCCGAGTTTCATCCCAAAGAATCTAAGCCCCTACCACAGGGGTTCGAACCTTTGACCATCCACTTGGATGGATAACCAGTATGCAATCACACTACATAGTAGTTGACAAAATATGCCTTTTTAAAAAGCCTAGAATTTACTTTTTCCTTCGATCAACCAATGATTGCAGGCCTAGATAGCGTCGGACAGTGTTACCCTCTTGCACACCTAGTATTTGCACAACCTCTTCTCGGGCCTGAGCCCCCACATTGGAGCTAAAGCACACTGCATATTTATCATAATTTATCTTCTGGCCTGAGGCTGCCGAGTACATGCCCAGAATAGAGTTACTATTTCTATTCAATTCATTCACTTTTCTTTATCTAGTAAAATATGTACAGAATGTATGTGTTATACTTCTTGGGATTACATCTAGCATTTTTCTTGTTTAAATAAATACATTAGTTGATGTGAACTCAAATTCATTTGTAGTTGGATTGGACACCTCTATTTGTTACTGTCTAGTCTTCCAGTAATTCAAAGGAGAGTAAGAGATTCACAACTTGTATTGAGTGAACAATGTAGGAAATCTAAATGGATGACCTCCTTGATTGAAAATAATCTTAGGGGTTGTTTGGTAATATGTGCTTTGGAAGGTTAGAATGTCATGTTTGGTTCAAGCTATATTATTTGTTCAAGAAATGTGACTTACTCTTTACATAGGATTTTGAGCTATTTTTGAGGGAATGTGATTCCCTTACTTGTCTTAGATTATGTGAGATTACCTTGCATTTTTACTCTTTATGCCTATTTAACAATATATAATGTTTAATCTTTAATACTATGCTATAACATATTTTAAAATATAAAAATAATTAAATACAATTAAACTATTAAAATATACTAGTATTTTCACCAGTGCGATACACGGAATGAATTTATTGTAATATATTAAGAATATTTCAATCGATATATAATTATGTAAATTAGAACATCAAATATTATATAGTGCAATTAAAGATATGGTTTGGATCGTTTATAGTTTATGTACGCATGTGGTGCTATAACTTTGAAGATTTTATTTATCATTGCTTAGTATTTTCATAAATTAGGCAAATGTGCTCGTTCTCTAAGAATTCAGTTATAGGAATGAATTGTTATCCTAATTAATTTGTATGGAACATATTTTTTGTCTAGATATATAGCAATTTTTTCATTTAAAAAAAAACTAATATCACCGATTATATTTACACATTATTGAAACCTCTTTGTAGACGATATTGGTAGTGGCAACACAATCTTGTCCATCCTCGTCTAGAGCTAACACCTTCAGTCCATCAGGACGGGTTACTCGGGTGAAAATATATAATAGTAGAATATCACTCAATTAGTGATTTTTTTTATATTTTCAGTCAATTAGTAATACAAATTCATTTTTATCCAATTTTTCTTTTTTATTTTCAGTCAATTAGTCAATTAGAATATCAAATACAGTGATATTTTTCCTAATTTTTGTTCCATTTTTAATTGATGATGTAGATATTATTATTGAAATATTTCCATTCCATTTTAATTTACCTTTACTATTGTTTAAAATATGCATTTACTATTGATGATGTAGAATATTATTATTTAAATATTTTGGTTAAATTTTTAATTTTCAGTACATTTTTAATTAAAATGCAATGATATGACCATTTCTTCCATTTTTTAGTCAATTATGGATCATATTTTATTTGCAGTCAGTTATTAATATTCATTTCCTTTTATATTTTCAGTTAATTAGTAATATTAGATTCATTTTCAACAAATTATTCTTTTTTTTTTATTTTCAGTCAATTAGAATATATATATATATATATATATATATATATATATATATATATATATATATATATATATATATATATATAGGGTGGATATTATTGTGAAAAATTAAAATGTAATAATTTGACCATTTCTTTTTTCATTTTAGTCAATTATGGATCATTTTTAATTTTCAATCAATTATTTACATTCATTTCGTTTTCTAATTAACCTAATTTTCATTCCTTTTTTAATTTTTAATTTTCAGTCAATTATTAATATTCAATTTATTTTTCAATTTACATAATTCTCGTTCCATTTTTAATTGATGATGTAAAATATTATTGTGACATATTTCTATTCCTTTTTTTTTATTTTACATTCCTTTTTAATTTATCTTTATTATTTGTTATTGTTTGGGCAGGAAATCAAGTAAATAGGATTTTGTTTTTAATTATAGTATAAATATAGATATAGATTATTTATTTATTATTATTATTATTATTATTATTATTATTATTATTATTATTATTATTATTATTATTATTATTATTTTTGTTGTTGTTGTCGTTGTTATTAAGTTAATTTACTTAATTCCGTTCCTTTTTCATTTTTTCTTTTCTATGGTTCGGGAAGAAGTGTTTGGGTAAGAATGAAAGATGGAATTTGTTTTTAATAATAAGTATAGATGGACTATTAGCATCGTAATCATATTAATTATTAGTCAATTATATTAAAGGTGCTTTTGGAAAACCCGAAAAATGATTCCAGAAATCATTTTCTGGGTGTTTTCAGTGTTTGGCTTGAGAGGGGAATTTTTGAGAAAATGACTTTCCTTTTTTTCTATTTTTTTTTCTTTTGGAGGAAGTCATTTTCCGTTTGCAGCAGTGGAACAACCAATCACCCACCGCCGCCCACCACCACTGAATACAGCCAAAACTTATGTCGCATGCAATTTAAAATATAAGTTGTTATATTATAAACAAAACAATAAAAATGCTTTTTTTTTTGGATATATAACAATTAAAATGTTTAAGTATACAATTTTACTCATTTTTCTGTTCATTTTCTGAAAAATGAACCAAATACACAAAGACATTTTCTGAAAAATGACGCAAAGACACAAAGACAATTTTCCAAATACACAAAGACATTTTCTGAAAAATGAATCAAATGCACAAATACAATTTTTTGATGTGCAGCCAAACATTGAAAAGAAAAATGTTTTCTGAAAAAATAACTCATTTTTCAAAAACCATTTTCCTACATTCCAAACGAATTTTAATATCTGTACAATTAATTTGTTAATTGCCATAATAATTATTGGAAAATGACCTTGTTTGATTATTGACAAATTCGCCAAAATTTTAACAAACTCAGCAATTTGCTCGGAACTGCTAAAAACTAAAACAACACATATACATTTTAGGGAAAAATTAAGATCAATATTTCTCAAAACCCCCTAATAAATAAATAAATTTAAGAAGCCATTAAGGCTTCTTAAAATTGATAAAAAATGCTCCTCCACTAAATACAGTCAAAACTTATGTTGCATGGAATTTAAAATAAAAGTTGTTATATTCTAAAGAAAACAATAAAAATGTATTTTGAATATATAACAATTAAAATTTGTAAGTAGTATACAATTCTGCTCATTTTCATGTTTATTTTCAAAAAAATGAACCAAATACACAAAGACATTTTTTGAAAAAAGAATCAAATACAAAAAAAAAAAAAAAAAAAAAAAAGAATCAAATACAAAAAGATAATTTTTTGCTGTGCATCCAAAACGTTGAAAAGAAAAATGTTTTATGAAAAATAACTCATTTTCCAGAAATCATTTTCCTACTTTCCAAACGAACTTTAATATCTGTAGAATTAATTTTTTAATTGCCATAATAATTATTAGATAATGACCATGTTTGATTATTGACAAATTCACCAAAATTTTAACAAATCAGCCATTTTAATTTTTAACGTTTTGTCTTTAATCAAAACACCAAAAATATTATTTGGTAACTCAGTAATTTGCTCCAAACTGCTAAAAACTAAAATAACACATACATTTTGGGGTAAGATTAAGATTAATCATTTCCCAAAACCCCTAATAAATTTAAAAAAAAAAAACTAAAAAAGAAGTCATTTATAAGCTAAGTCTTCTTAAATAAGAGCCTTTTGGCTTCTCAATACTTGCTCACATTGATGTGCAAGCAATTATGTTTTGAAAAGGAGCATTGCTCCAGTTATATAGAGGAGCTCAAGAGCTCATCTTTTCAAACATTTTCGATGTGGGATCAAAATGATCCCACATTTACAAAGGGTAGCCCGTGACTCCCTTTTGTCTTTTTTTTTTTTTTTTTTAAAAATTAATTTTATTTTGTATATAGTTTTATTTTGATTATTATTATATTATTAATATCATTATAATTGTAATTTTATTTTATTATTACATAAATAATAATAATAATAATAATAATAATAATAATATAAATTTCTTTTAGCTATACACTTATTATTACATTTTTTTTAATACTACTGACTCTATTACAATGTAGTATAATTTTCATCAAAATGAATAGTGACGGTAATAATGTTACCGGTAATAATAATATTATAATAACGCTATGAGAGAGTAACAATAGTTGTATTGCTTTTGTCTCAGTATAAAAAATACAGTGTCTTTGTCTAGAGTATTGGACGTCCCCCTCCAAGCTGAAGGGAGCCCCTACTTATACAAAAGCTGCTAACGGTAACATCATGAAGCATAAATGGGGAGCTAAGCCTTTAATTCTCTCTCATCAATAGTGACATCAATGGTGGCTTCAATGGCACTAAAGGTGATAGCCGTTGGAATTCTGCCCGTTGGAGTTTTGCCCGTTGGGTTTCCATGTGGTGTCGGGTCAG